ACTCTTCACGGTAAAAAAGGGGAGAATTTTGTGTCTCACTTTTGTTCCCTGGGACCAATTAAGAGTATTCTGTCATTATTATTGTCAACACTAGGAACAGTGTACGAACGATAATCAATTTACTGACACATCCTAATATTGATGGTCAAAGGGCTGCACTGAGGACATCTTCACATTGTTTTGGCAGGGTTTTGTTGTTGGTTTTTTTTTTTTTTTTTTTTTCCAAATCTAAAGGAAAAAAAATGGACAGTGGGCAAAAGGGGTATTTCTGTGTACCAGATCCACTATGCACTACAGAACTGGCTGGAGAAAATAGAATTAATTTTTGTCCTGAAAACTGTTGTTGAAATACTCTATGTCTTTCTATTCTCCCCTCTTTTTCCTTTTTTTCTCCTTGATCTCCACTCCTGTGGCTGCTCCAGCTCTGATGCGACACATTTTCTGGTTTATGCCGAACGGAGACCAAAGTAAAGGAAACCTCAAGTACTCAGTAAAAGATGCTGAGTTTCTGAGTTTACCTGGCTTTTGCTAACCTTTTTGTTTGTTTGCTTGTTTGTTTGTTTGTTTGCAACAGTGCTGTTACTGCTAGAAAGGCATGTAAGATTTACTTGTCCCACAAAAGTCCATATATTGGTCCAAGCGGAAGTTTCTGATCAGAGCAACTTGATTTCAAAGTGAAGTTTCTTCACCCAGACAGCTCTACTGGGAATATTAAAAAATGCTGTAATGCTGTTATCCTATGATGTAATTAATTAAAGAAAAAGTAGCTGAACAGGTACTGAAAGGCTCTACCCTCAGCTAAACTACAAGGGTACTTATTGGATCTCAGAGGTCTAGTATTTTTAACTTTAGCTTCCAGTTAACTAAGTGACATCAGTTTCTATGAAAATCATGATTCCTAAACCCCTCAATGAAATCACAAGTATAACATATCAGCAATCAAAGGCTGAAGTTGGTATCTGTTCTCTTTCATGGGCCTGCATGAGACCGTAAATAATATTAAAATATGGAAAGGGTTGTTCTTTGAATATTCTTAGCAATAAATGCTTATGAAAACACTTGGGATTGGGTGACCCCCAAAAGACTGAAAACCACATATGGACTATGATAGAAGGGAATTCAAAGCCCTATGTTTGGGGACAGTTTTTTATGTACACAAACATTAATGTAGAGAAAGTCAGAATATGTTTGAATGTCCCAGGGTTGTAAAGTACACAGAATAGAAAGGCAATCCTTTGATGGGCAAAAACCTCTTAATACACTACAGAGATTACTTGGAAACTCATACTTCATCTTGACTAAAGAACAGGCTAAAATTTTACCACATATTTCACCAGACCCAAGATTCACTCACAGGTTGTCACTATTCAGAGTTACTATTTCAGATGGTTTAAGGTACGTTCTTGTGCTGCTATTAATAATGCACATTGACGCAGAACATCACATACGGCATAGTAGACATGGATTGTGACACATGGCAGTAATCCTTCTGCAACTGTGATCATTCACCCTGAGTTTCTCAGGCTTTGTGTTCAGGGCTGAAACACTCAAATCAAGACTCAATGGTTCTCCCTTACTCAGAAATGCTCTAAAGGCACCCAGTGACCTAGTTTAAACTTGAACCTCATATTCCACATAGATCAAACATAAAAGTGAACTTGTATAAATCTCTAAGTGTGACATGTCTAAGAGAGCTTTCTGAGCAAAGAAGGACAAAAATAGAAAAGTCTCATTATATGCCTAACAACAAGGTGGAAAAATATGCAGATGAAATTTATGCCTGATGGGAAAAAAGAGAAAGACGGCGGCGCTGGATAGGCTGAGACTAGTTCGAAGCCTGTGACACCAGAGTAAATGCAAAAGGTTTGTTTATCAGAATCTGCAATTCACTGGGAGATCTGGGGAAGGAACAGCAGAGAGAGATTTATTTTAAATACAAACTGGATCAGATGTCTGTCCTTTTAAGATTGGGAGTGGGGGACACAAGTCCGCAGTAGCTCAGGAGAAGAAAATGTTTCAGACAATGGTTATTAATTGTGCTCTGCTATGCCATATCTTTTTCTATTAAATCCTAGATAGCCAAATCTGTTTCCTAATTGTTTTTGTGTTTCTCAGTCTTCCTTTTGTCTTGCATAGGAGTAGGCAATTTCTATGCCATCAATATCTCATTAGGGTCCTGGGATGTGAAATGCCTTATTTTGTTTTTAATTTTGTTCTCTCGGCTTTTTGCTACATATTATGACATAGCATTTTTTGTTTGCTTGTTGCGGCCCATTTATTCTCTGGCATTCCCTTTCCCCAGGTTATAGCTTTATTTGTTTCTTTGCCTGTTGGCACTCAAGGTGTATGTAAATTATTGTTACATGCTTCACCATCACTACCCATTGCTCTTCATTTCCCCTAATGACGTTCTCATCTGAATGCTAGTGCCTGCTCAGGTCGTACATGTGTAGAAAAATCTGCGAGTTTTTTTTTTTTTTTTTTTCTCTCTCTCCTATTGTGGTTTGCCTCAAACTCGTATTCATGAGCTACGGAATACAGCTGCACGTTTTCTGCCTAGGGCAAAAACCTGCTGCCACTAGTGCAAGTAGCAGCTTAGAGGAAAAAGGAAGGGCATTCACACAAATAGCTAATCAAAGGGTTTTTAATGATACTCATTAGGAAAGAAATTCATTAACAAGCCAGCATACGAACATTCCCTGAAGGGATAGTGATGTTATTGGTCACATCAAAGGCCCCACCTGACTAACACCTTTATTGCTGTTCATAGTAAGGCCAAGTTAGCAGCAAAATCAGTGGCATTCAGTTCCTGCTAAGAAAAAAAGTCAGGAAAGCATGGTCATTGAAACTGAATCAATAAAAGTCAGGAAAGCATGGTCATTGGAACTGCATCAATCCTGTTTTTCCTAATAAGAATGGCTTTTCAGCTTTTCACAGGGATGTGTAGTTGAGCATCCACCACTGACACTTTTGAATTCATACAATTTTACATTTCCTACCCTTCATTCCTTCCCCTGTTCTCTCTCTCTCCTTTTTTTGGATACCTCTGACTATGTGCAAACTGGTGCCCATGGTAGTGGTGCAGCCCCATGGCACCGCAAACCTCAGGTGGATGGATACTAGAGCCCCTTTTCGAACAGAAGTCTGCAGAAGGCAAACCTTCTTCCAAAGTGCAGTGGGGAGCCATGCTAAACTGTAGGAAGATCATTCCCTGGACAAGGCACCGATCCAGGCACACCACAGCTTACACCTACTACTCAGAACGGACACGGCCTCCGAGCATCAAAGCCATTTCCAACTTGCAAGCATATAACTGCCTCTTTTTTTATGCTCACTCTATTACTTACCTATAAAAGGGACTTTGTATTTTTCTGCCAACTCATTCTAAAAGATTAGTATTGGTATCTTGGGATGCTCATTTGCTCGGTAAAAATTAGGTTTTTAAACAGACTGAACCAGAAATCTCACTTTTATTGCACTGCCTGATACAGTAGAGCTCAGTTATTAGAACAAATTGGAGCAAGCCACTTTCTGGTTGTTATACCCACATAATTACCACAGGCTGATACATGAAACCATGCTTCACTCTTATGCTTAGAGGGGAGATCTCCATTTTGCAAGGACAGAGCAAGTTCTATTATGCATTTTACTGCCAAAGGAGGTCAATTAAGTTTAATTGGTTCTAATTAGCACTTGCTCAAGCTGTTATATTCTTTACCTGCATCCGAGTGGCTCTCCAAGTGCTGCACAATGGATTCCTGCTTTTGAACACAAAGGAGAATTACTAATGGCATCCTTGAAGGCAAAAAGATGCACTGATCAGCATAAATGGGGAACAAATATCAGCACAAATAGTAGCAGGCCTTTTTAGAAAAAAAACCCACAAACATTTCATCCCCATCTGGCTTTGATCAATTGAACTGAATGCAATTGTGCACCTTGTTTAAAGTTATAACACAGAAAGTACACAAATGTAATTATTCTCTACCACAACTTCTGAAAGATAAGTACTGGAGAATGGGTAAGGCAGAGCAAGAGTGCAGCAGCTCTGAAAAAATAAATAGAACTTTTCAATGGTAGCTAAAAAAAAAAAAAAAGTGAACAAACAGATCCTCAAACATGTTAATCCAAAATGCTTTGTTTTCTAAGATTTTTGAGGACTGTTTAAGAGGTTTGTGTTTAAGTAACAGATTTGTTTTTTTGATGTTGTGTTTTGGATTTTTTTTTCCATTTTGCTGCAGAGAGAGGACTGACATCACTTACCTAAACGTCAGCATAAGTCATTTCAGTCCTCAGGATGTGGTGAGAAGCTAGCATCAAATTCAGAATGGTCTACAACAGACTGAATGAGATGTCACATGTCAGAAGAGACACTGAAATGCTGAGGTGCACTCTAGGAACTTTTTTTCTGCTGGGATCTTCCTGGATGTAGCTGAGCCTGAAGCCATGTGCGCTTCCCAGCTGAAGACTGCTGGGCTGCGAGCAGCCAGGGCTGGGAGCTCATAGGCCCTGAGCATACTTCAGTCCTACTGGCTTGGCTTAACCACCCATTTAAAATAAAGTACCAGATTTAGTGTCCCAAGGATCTATGGACTTTGGATAATTTATTTTGCTAGGGAAACCAAAAGCAGTGAAGCTTATACATATTATCAAGAGTTCAGAATCACATGTGAAACTGTAGGGGACTTGTCTGATTCTAAGGCAGTGTATGTTCCTTTTTTTAGTATTACTCTTTGCCATCTTTCCTGCTATTTGAATGTACCTCCTAAATGAATTGTCCATTGCCCACATGGTTTTCAAAAATAATTTATTTTTAGCTAATGTGTTCCAGATAGATGGAACACAAAACACGTTAAAAAAATAAAAATGAAATTAAAAAATCCTCCCCTCAGCAAACAAATTCCCCACAATCTTTACAAAAGAAGGCCAACTTTTTCCCTTCTAGTCTCCCTGCTAAATTTCTACAAGGCCATTAATCATAAAAAAACCCAAATTGCATAAATCGTAGAAAAGCCAAAGGAGCTGCCTGTATTTATTTATTTTTTTTTTAAAAAAGTTCCTGCCAGAATCTCCCCCAACCCAATTACCTTTCCTCTGTCAGTTGTGAGGACTCTTTCTCAGCCTTAGTACATGCCTTTTCTCCTGGCTGGCAATGCATGGGCTGAGGCAAGCATAAACCAGCATATCATTATTTCAAACAGTCATGTCTTCCTTTTGAACTCTGTATAGTTAAATCCATATACTTGAAACACTCCATGCTCCGTTTCTTTTGAACTTTTCCCAGGAACAGCATTTCTGTTGTATTTCAGGTGACAACCAAAAGTTATTCAAAAGGGTTACTGACTTGGATAAGGACTTGAGAAATAACAAATAACAAAAAAGAAATGCCTGTTGTTTGCATCACTGAAATGGCTGACCATACAGAAATACACCACTGAAGCACATGTAACAATTTATTATTTGGTCCTTCAGCCCTCCTGCATTTATAATTGAGCATATATTCAATGCAAATATTGAGAAAAATTGACCTAGCATCTATCTGTATGTTCTGGGGATATTCTGTACTGGGTTGGCAGTAGCTCCACCAGTACAAAACCCCAAGTCCAAGGGTTCAGACCCACTGAACACAGGTTTTACACGTCCACTACCTGACAGGCTTTAAGCAAAGTAAGCTGTGCACTTGCAGTCCTTACTGTACATTGAGATAGTCTGTCTACAAATGGAGGACGTATCACTAGAATAGCTGTATCAGTGTAATTACATTGGTACAACTATTCCCAATATAGACAGGACCTTAAACAGAAATCCCTGTGACAGGCAATGTTTACCACTGGCCTATTTAAAAGACAGCTCTTAGCTTAGTTCAAAAACCAGCATATAAAATGTTCCTTGTTACCTGTAAGTGGACAGTGATGATTATAGCTCAGTCTATGTTATTATTGCCTGATTTTCCCAGTTTGGGTTTCCACATATTGACTCCTTACTCAAGGTCTTTTAACATAGATTTGAAATGTGAATATGTTTTATTTTTTTCCCCAGTAAATATACAATACACACTTCAACAGTACTATTAACCAACTTTTTATGCCAATTAAACTTTGCTGCACTAACACCAATGAAACACATTAAGAGGTCATACTTTTTCGTGAACAAACTGTAGCCAATAAACAGTTTTTTAAAAAAACAAATTAAAAAGCAATTCTAAGTGCTGCCACAACATCCCTTTTCTTTAAACACATTATTCACAATAAATGTTTTAAATTTTTTTTAAAAAAAGAAGAATACTTCTTTTAAAATAGTAAATTAAATGGCATTTTAAAAAATATGTACTGTGGTTCATTGGAAGTACACTGTATAGAAAAGAGAGAGAGAAAACAAAAGAAGAGACATCACCTGTAGGATAATGGAGACACTTTGCGATACACAACAACACCTTATGTAATATTGTAAGCAAATTATTAATGAACAAAAATGTACAGAAGCAGATGATCAAGTTAGTGAATATCATGGTACTGCACAGCTTTAATACTGACACACATTTACTTTCCAGTGGAAGAGATAAAACACGTATTTGAAAGTAATTGGGATGATTTTGTCAACACCTAATGATACTGAATTTTGAATAGAATATAGTGAGTAAGGTGTTCCACCAAAGCTCAGCACAAGCTTTGAATTAAAAGGAAAACAAATCTAAGGGCAACTGAGTTAAACATTTTCCAGAGAATTAAATTTGAATTGTACCCTGAATAGTCTTCTCTTCATATGATAATACCAAAATAAAAACCATACATATGTAAATATGATGCCTTTATCTTGCTTGAACATTTCTGCACATTTTAAAGTAATGGTTTTAACTATAATGGCTTAACAAGCAGGAAAATTACATATATTTGTTGGTCACATATATAAATAAATGCATACATTTTTTTCTCAACTTTTTTTGGTTTTTAACCTGCTAAATAACAGTCTTGACCTTAAGGAAGTTAACTAGCATTTTTTTAATATTCAATAGTGCTGAGTTATAGTTGATGGCTGTAGTGTTTTATCTTATCATGGAACAAGTTAATGAAATGAAAAGCAACACATATTTAGCATTGTAATTTAATTTTCTAAAATTCTGCCATTACTAAGAGTGTTCTTAATACTGGTGAGCTCCAAGGCAATATATAAAACAACATAGACTGGTTATACGAAAAGGGTATTCAAATGGAAAGTTGTATTCATGGTCAGATAACTAACAGAAACAAGCTGTAGGATGCAATATTTAAATTAAGCACCAAATGCATGGGCTATACACATACAATATTCTAAGAAAAGTTTGACAATTTACTTTGAGATTTGAGAGGTACAGAAGATTTGGACAAAGTCATGAAAATTAATGAAGAGACAGGATGCTGTCATTAATGTCCACTTACAGAGTCTGGTTTATTCAAAAAGTGTATAAACATGCGTTATTTCCTCATCATAGCAGGGCTTGAAGCCACCCACTAAAACATAGGTCAAAGATTTTCTTTGCTTATATCCAACTTTTTGGATGTACTGTATTGCCAGAAATGTACCTAATGCAAGCCGAAAATAATTTGACCATTGCTTTCCTTCCAAACACTAAACATTTTACTACAAATTTAGTGGATCCAGCTTCAGCTCTCACACACTTCAGGTAACAGAACACAAAGGTTTGTTTAGACTGCATCAAAACAATTAATGTCATGAATTTCAGTGGTGCAGCTCTATCCTCTATTATACTGTACACGTATTGGAAAAATGAAATAAGATACTCTGACATTTCAATTTTTTGGAAGCAGCCTGAATATGCCTTAATAATAAATTGCATCCTTGACTACTTACTAGGTATTCCTTGAGTTTATATTGTTAGTTTCTCCTGGGAAATCTCTGTCTTATATTTTGGGTCGGAGAAATTAATGGTAATAATTCTTTTAAAACTGCAATATAAAAACAGCTTTAGTGAAACACCTTAAATTCTTTTGTTTGTAGCAAGGTTTGTTTTTCTTACCCTTTACTTAAGTGGCATGGGATGGCTAAAAACAGATACTAAGGGCATCATTCTAGTGAAAGGGTCTAGGCCATCTCATGCTACCTTTAATTTTCATATTCACTCTTTAATTTCACACTTCCAACTTCTGACCCCTTCTTAAATAGGAAGAGCAACTATGTTGCTTGCCTTTAAAAGATTTAAATCTGTCTCTAATGTCTTCACTGACATCAGTTTTGCCTGTCACTTTCTTATTTCTACACCCCAATGGAAAACCACCTAACATACTCCTTTACATCCAGCATTACCCAAAGTAGCTTACAGTACGTAAACCTTCTTCACACATTCAGTCTCTTTTTTCTTCATGTCATGAGGAGTAGAGTTTTGTGCTTATCATCAAATAAAATTGCAGTGCAAACTTTAAACATAAAAGTTACACAATTAAAAGTTAATATATGGCACCACAGCCTATTAATTCACATATAGTACAACAGACCAATAAAAACAGACATGAATATGAACATAGCTAAAAAGAAGGTGAGCTTGCATAGCAATGCAACAAAAGAAATTATATACACAAGGAAATCCTTTTCATCCTGTAGGGTGGTGTTTTTTGTTTTTTTTTTTTTTTTTCTTTCTTTTTTATATACTCCTGACAAGGAATAGTTTAAGGTGGATGGTGTATTAAAGAGAAGAACACAAGTAAAGTATCTGTGGGATATGTGTGGCTGTGTGTCTTTACATTGCATTTACAGTTCTTTTAATAGTACATAAATAAAGAAAATGTTCATTGCACTGTTTAGTGTCATCACTTCCATGAGTTCAGACCTGATGATCCATCAGAGCAGCTTGCAATGTGTCTTCTCAACTACTCTATAGAGAGAAACAAAGAGAGAGAAAGAGGTTGTAATAAGGAGGAAAAAACCACAAAACAAAGCCTATGGCAATATTACTGCAGCATGGGATGAATATTCAATAGGTTGGGAGAAGAGAGTTAATTGCTTCCAAGATGAAAAGCAATGAATGCTAAAATTCAGCACTTACCAACACCATATCTGAGACAGCACATTTCAGGGTTTGTGGATCACCATTAGCTCTCTTACAAACTACTGGGTGGTAACTGTCAGGAGGTGCTGAGGGTTTGACTGCAGCAAATAGGAGGCAGACATGCCAGTAGCTACATTGCTTTTACTAGTAAACTTTCCGGTATGCTTGAGCTGCAGTGTTGGTGTACTACTTCAGACAATAGAGTCAAACCTTTTGGCATCTGTTATTACCATCACGTACACAGCATTAACCTGTTTTTATACAAGGTTTAAGAGATATTGAGGGGTAATACAAAAAGTCTTGAAAATAATTCCCCTGGCCTGTGAAGTTGAGTAAAGAGTTGAGTGAAAAACTGTGCTACACAGTCAAAAAAATAGAACCTCCATCTAAGGTCAAAAAGAGCAGAATACTGCTCACCAAGAAACAGAAAGTTAAGGAAAAGGCATCACAAGCTTGCCAACATGCCCAAAAAATTCAGCACCCTTTTCATCCACTCCTCAGAGAAAAACTGCCAAGAGCATTTCCAAGACAAACACACTACACTTTGCCAAGAAAATTCTAAATTAGTAGAATTTCTTTTCAATTTCCACAGTGTTTCACTAGCATTACACGTTGAAAGATGTACTATGTAGATAGTCTTGGCATGGCTTACACAGATATGAACTGGTCCAAACCAAAGAACAGAGGAACTTAATTTGTTTGTCATTACAGGCAAAATACCTCAGATGGCAAAAAGATCTGGGTAAAATTTAATCTGATTATCACATTCTCTCTGATATTCCTCCTCTATTCAAAATAGATTTATAATTTTTCTCTGTCTATTTGAGAATTTGACTGTAGCTAGAGATAAACTTACATAATTCACCAGTAAACTGTCCTTGACTGTTTGATCCCACATAGCCTACATCGAGAAGGTCACTGGCATTGCGTTGGTGACCTCCCCGCAAGACTTCACCTTTTCTAGGTCCGGTCGATCCTTTAGAAGAAGCTGTTCCTGAAGAGCTGTGGCCGCCAGGGGATGGGAAGTTGGGTTTACTATATGGTACGAGTGCCTCTTCTAGAACAGCAAAACAAAACAAAACCCAAGTAAATTCCTATAAATACCAATAAACAAGCTACTCTTACATGGACATCGTATTCATTCCTGCCCTCAGATATCTGTCTTTTGTCTTTCTTTATAGCATGGCAATTTTACTTAAGAAAATACACAGCTCAGTGTTGTATCCCACACACAAAGAACCAGGCATGAATTTAATCTTGCTTTCATGTAAACTCAGCGGTTAGTTTATATTAATTATAAAAGTCTAGATTTTTTATGAATAGATCATGAATCAAAGATACTTTAATAAAAATAGATGCACATAAAATTTCCAAACAATGCAGCTATGATTAGATTTTTGTTTCAAGTCTACATGAATGCTCTTTTTCCTTTTCTTTAGCTTAAATTATGGTAACATTACCTCAATCAATTTAGATAAAGAACTACAATATCAGCTAATTTAATTAGCTTCCAGCAGCTCAGTAATTTCTAACGATGCAAAGTATACTGAAGATTTTTTTAACTGGTTGTGAATTACCTTGGAAAATATTATATGCTACATAGTATTAGTAGTTGTAATATTTGGAGTGAGTAAATCTTCCTGCATCTTGTTTCATGTTCCATTATGAGCAAAAGGCTTACTTTTGCTCACTTGGCTTCTTCCTCTCTGAACTGCTTGCAAGAGCAGGATTAATACCAATAAAGCATAGGGCTGTATGTCTTCATATAGCATGAAGTAAAACAAGACATCACATCTGATTAGAGTTTCCAGGAGATATTGTTGTAATAATCCTAACCTAAGAAGCAAAACAGTAGTACTGATTTAACACTAATAGAAGCACTATTTTATTTCTTTGCTGTGTATGATCCACTTTTGCCATCTCAGAACCCTGCTAAATATCGTTTGATTCAAGAAAGTGTATGAGTATATATGCTTAACCTCAAACACAGGGATTGCCCCTTCTGAAATCAGTGGGATATCTCGTGCTTGAATCTTACATTTTTTAAAGTGAATCTGAGATGAAAGGCATTTCTTTATTTAGTTTTTCCTGTTGTCTTCACTCTTAAACAACCTCAAGAGGAGAAACAGACTTTCTTTGACAGAGGGCAGGAACACAGAAGGATAAGTAGGTGGGGATGGTTGGAAAGGAGATAAAAATGCTTTTATTCACAATCCTGAAGTCTGTGCAAAGGCTGCAGCAGAGGCACAATTAACTCAGGGAAATGCTAAATGAGAACAAATTTGTAGAAGAAACCCAGGATTTCATTCTTTGTGCCTACTGCCACAAGTGAGTAGGACATGGGAATTCCCCCTGTGATCTGCTATTGAACAGAACCCATTTGTAAGGTAAATCTGTTGCAGAAGAGGGCAGGCAGATGACTTTTTTTCTCTGTCAAAGTATCTCCCTCTGGCCCTGCCCAAGGGACCAGAATATTTGCGCTGCAGGATGTAAGGGCATTATCAGTGTTTTGTGCCATAACCATGTGCTGTCCTTACCGAAATAAAAAGAAATGCTTAAAAGACATAGTAAAATGGCATTTATTAGCCATAGCCTCCTAAATTATGTTACTTGTTCTTTATATATCAAGCCCTAACAATAGAATCAGATGCAAACCTGGTTTCCAAAGGCTGGCTAAAATATGGAACAGCTTGCATTAAGGCAGCAATAAAGTAAGCAGCATAAATCAGTTCAGCAGAAAGCTGGATACATTTTTAAAGGATGGATAGAAAAGTCACTAGCATTGCAAAAGAGTTTGAAGATGACATATATGGTCAATTGATTTGTTTTTCTAGTTTGCGGACTCAGGATAAGGCCTCCTTCGGGTTCAATGAAATATTGAGAAAAAACGACCATGAATAAATATAAAGTGCATTATCATTATAGAGCATATGGTGTGTTAAATTATCTGTTGTGCCCTCAGAAATAAATACAATCCATAAAATAAGCAATTGTGACATAAAATACAGGCTAAGTTTTTTCACAACATTCTAGCACATGAAAGGTAGTTGTCTCAAGTCCTCAGGATGGGTTTACATTTATCAAACCACTACCTCATGCCCCATGTGTGCAAAGAATATGGGGAGGCTTTACTGATGACTTTCTCTTTGAAATACTGAGCCTTTAATTTGAAGATATAATTCTAGCCCCTGTGAAGTCAGGATATATGTGTGTAATGATGATTCTATACCCTGTAAGATAACCAAAAGACTGATTATCAAAACTACTGTAACTTGATCTAGCACTACTTTCTTTAGAGGAATAGCTGAGAATGTCCTATTTGATATGCTGTAACTGCAGTTCTACAACAAAGTTATTGGCGGGAACTCAGTGATCTTGTTTATACTGAAAGCAGCCAGTGGAAACATAGTTCCCAGAATTAGGTATTTCTATTGTATTCAACTTCAAACCAAAGCTCCTGCTTTCAAAATTTCACTTACAGCTTCATAATAACTGAATGAAGTCCCCTAAGCTGCAAAATAGCTATTTTCTGGAAGCTGATAGCTAATAATAACTCTTTTTGGAAATATATTGAAAACTGGGACAGGATAGCTTTCCAGAGATCTTTGTTATGAATAAAGGAAAAGGGAAGAAGCACAATTAATATTATTAAAACCCCAAAGTTTAGTAACAAACAAGCATCACACATAAGAGTATCCTTTTTAAAATCTACCAGAGAAAAGAATACAGAGCAAGAAAGCTGTAGTGCAAGAAGCTGGGATAAGAAGACAGACAGACAGATAGGAAGCTCTGGCCCACCTTGTGCACAAACTTTATGAATCCCTCCCACAGGAATCCTCTGTCATGCATAAAGGATATGAAATTGCCCTGGTCATCCTGAATTTGATAAGAACAAGACACCTGTAACCGTTCCATCCTTAAATGCAGTGTTCATGTAGGACACTAGAAGTGTCAAGATCAAGTTCTTTTTCTTTAAGGACAGATAAAAACAAGTCCTGCAGGAGGAGAATTTTAGTACTGTATACTCTCTATATCACAGAATAACTTGATAACTTCTATTTGTACATTTACAAAGCAGAGGAAAAGTAGGAGAGTTCTGATATTCAGGTCACAGAAGCATCTTTAAAATAATTTACAAAGAAATGAGATGTTTAAAGTATATTTGGGCTATTTTCTGTGTGTTTGTACATCTTGCACATTGTAAGCAAATCTGCCATTTCACCAAGTAGCATGATTTTTGCACACTATTTTTAAACTGCAACTTCACATCATCATCTTACAACACGAACACTCCCTTGTTTATGCAGCTGAAAGATTAGGGGGTTTAATGGTACCATTATTGTTATATTTTAAAATATGGATTGTATTTGAAATATTTACATTTTAAATAGGAGTCGCATTATTCCTAGGATGACTTTATTGAATAAATCCTGCCTCCAAGACACATTTGCCTGCATACTCTTTTTTTTTTTTCTTTTTTCAAATGTCATTGGTATTAGTGTGCTAGATTAACAAGGAGCATTAATAGTAGAATAAAATCAAGAAAAAGATGGGTAATAGTAGTACCTCTGGTGTTACTGTGGGAGCTACATACATACTTGAAGAAATAATGTAGCCCTACAGAAAGCTCCAGGTACAGTATAATTTTTTTTTTTTTTTAATCTTCTTAATTGTCCTCTTGTACCACTCTAATCAGCACTGGGATAACATGTGATTAGTGGGTTAAAGAAAATACCCTGGTATGAGGAGAAAAGCTGAAACAGCAGCTTTTACTTGAGGTCAGGCCGACAGAAGGAATCTCTGAATACTGTAGAACTACAACTCCAGCTCAGCAATGCCTCCTGCACACATTTTTACAGACTTGAAATCCATTTAGGAGATAAAGTCAGCACTCGGCAATGAGCAGATGCTGCATAAAGGTGAAAACCTGCACCGTCATCTTGCTGGGCCTAAGAGATGAATGTTACTTTGTCATATCCTTGAATAAGGAGAAGACTGTTTTAAATACAGCTGGAAGGAATGTCAGTAGCTCAGAAGGATCAGCCTTCTTGCAGAGAGGCAAAACCAACTGCTGACAATGTAGAAGCAGGTTGAAAGAACTAGAAAATATGGGCCCTTATGTATAAATAAATACATACGAATAGGAAGTACTCTAAAAATCTGTCGCTCCTCCCGACTGCCTGAAACTGTTCCTGTTTGTCCACTGCTATGCTTGACAACATTATTAATTGCCAAAAACACTGTAAAGAATGCACGGAGTTGGGTGTTAATGAGATTTCATTGCTGCAGGAGGGAAAATACTTGAATCACAAGCTCTCACTTCACTTTGCCTTTTCTTATTTTCCAGCCAGAGCCTCACCAGTACTGGCACAGAGGGCTGTAAGGTGATCCTAGGCTCCTGCTAGATACAGAAACCCTCAGCTGAGAAGTGTCAAGAAGCCGTCTGCGTTGCCTCGGCTGGTGCAGCACACACACACCTGATCCGAAGGCTTGTTTGTGTTGGACTTTCCTGAAATCCTCTTGGCGGTCTGTCGAGCTTATCCACTCCTGGGTTTGCCGCTGCCACTCTAGTGATGTTCTAGCTTGCCGGTCCAGGGAGCTCTTTGTTTCATCTACGTTGGGTGCATGCTGCCTCTCAAGAGAGCTTCCTTTCCTCTCTGCTGAGCCTCCGCGCTGGCCGGGGACTATTTGCTGCCTTAAACCCTGACCAGGGGGCGGGTCGGGTGGTGGTGGAAGATCTAAAAAATGTGAATAAGATTTAGATGAACTAATTTTTTAATTGAAACAGAAGGTCTATTTGATGCTGAAAAGTCCCTTGCAAATTGCACGAATCACTTCACTTGCTGATTTTAAAAGGAGGAAATTTTAGTTAATCAGAAAAGTCTTTTTAACTTCCGTTAGCTCGTTAGCTTTTTATTCAGGTTACTGTGTTGCTAGCTCTTTCTAACTTCCATAAAAATCAATAGACTGAGTCCTGACTTAGATTTTTAAGGATGGGATTTATTTTCTGTGGAATATACTTCAGCTGGCCCTTTCAGTAACAGCAAGCAATTAAGAAAGGCTATGAAAAACTGATCTGTGTCAATGGACAATTTTCCCCCATCATACTGGAACTTGCTTCACCACGCCTATTTTTGGACTTCACTTTCAGCTTGAGGTTTAAACTCTAAATATAAACATACATCTTTATCAAAATTAATAAATTCCACAAAAATTTGGGGAAAAATTATTCACAAAACCTACTGTGATTGAAAAAGCATCAACACATCTGTGAAAAATGCACGTTTAAATGGAATCACCAAACAACAGGTGAGCATTTTATTCAAGCACTATTTGAAAGTTCAGACAAGAGCTAGAGTCTTCACAGACAAGAGGATGGCCACTCTTAAGTTTAGCAGTCTAGCAAATATAACTAATCAAAACAAAATTTCAGCCGAACACTGAAAGACACTTGCCTGGTCTCTAACAACTTCTATCCTTTTCAAGTTTATCACTTGGACTACTAAAATGCTTGTAGAATTGAAGATCAAGCTTGTGATCACATTTGTGGAGGCAAAAGTATATTTTGTTCATCTTTGACCAAAGGTAATTACAGAATCTGAATAGTTACAATTCTAAATGCAAGATTTTCATGTAAATGATATGATAGACATATAATAGTCCAGAAAAGTCCTCAGTTTATTTAAAAAAAAAAATCAAAAAAAATCAGAATCCGGAAGCATCTTTAGTATTGTAATGAAAACTTTCCCATATCAGGTATCCATTTTATGTGTAAAACACTTGTTGATAATTCTGGTTTTGGGCAACACATAACCCAAATAAATCTGTGCACCCCACTAACTTCACTAAACCTATGTTAGTTTACACTAGATATGGATCTGTCCCGCATTCTAGTCTTTCCTATCCTACAGTGTTGTGAAGATTTATCAAGGAAGAGAACTTGGCTCAATAAGAGGCATGGAAAAGTAAATCTTTGTTTTGTCTGCAGGAAAGTCTGATGTCTAAAACTCTAGTGATATTGAAATTCATGTTATAAATTGCTGAGGAGGCCTTTAGAGGGAATTTTATTTGAAGTCTGTAATCCAGCCTTATATAATGCTACACAGACTTTTCTTCATGTTCTTGCTGTATAGAGGTGATGTTCATACCTCATATATAGGGTAGAAGCTTTCAAATTTACCAAGATGTCATTCCAGTCACCATTGTCTCTTACAGATAAATTAGGACATATGGTTTATTTGTGTCTAAAAGGGAATGAAGTTTTGTCTGATGTTGCTCCCGTACCTTTGTCCACAGCTGAAGTGCTGTACCACAGATTAAGTTATCTATTTTCTGGCTAGAACAGCCTTACAATAATCTGTCAGTGAGCTTGGTGCATGCTTTATGTTCAGCACTAGTTTATTTGAGAAATTTTTAGTTATGCATATAGATGTGACCTTTCATGACAATGAACTATACTTGAGTTACTGTAGGTGGAAACAGGAGGGTATGGGAGCTTGCCAATGTTAAAATTGCTTTATAGTGTTGGCTTCCAAAATGGCATTTCTTATAATTGATTTTATTGCAATCATAACCAGTTAATGTACAGAACCACAACACTGGCATCTGCTTATGCAATCTGAAATGGAGATTACTGAAACTGTGATTTATAAGCACTTTATGGAAATGCATTGAATCCAATAAACACAGTCATAACATGACATCTGACAATACAATTTTCCGAGATAAAATATTTATTGTTCCATTTAAACAAAATTTTTAAGTATCATAGCAAAATAAAAATTTAAATTATTGCAGTATTCTTAATGTATAATACTACCCTTCTTCAGAAACTGCTGTCTAATAGTTGTTATTAATTAGATACTGAGGAAGAAAGAAGATGTGTACTTAAACCATACTCCATGTTCTAGAGCTAGCTGCAACACCTGGAATTATTGTAGACTCATGCTACTAATCTACCATTATTCTTGCTTTTATCCACCCACAAAATGGGCATAACGACTGCCTTACGCATAGAAGTGAAATGAAAAACCACATTTGCAAAGTTCTTTAGGTGTCTTAGACCTGTGGGTGAGTTGAAATTAAAAATAAAATTTATCTTCTAATGAAGCTTCACACAATTCTACAAGAATTACAAGTAGTATGTAATTAATGTAGGCTGGCTCCAGCCTGAGTACAGACTTACTGAGCTGTGCTGGAAATGTCTGAGATCTGTAAGAATGGTTACTAATTCTAGCCAACCATCTCCTGACTAAACCATTTACTTTTTCACCTTCTTATGCAGGTTGATTGTCACAGTAACACCTACCTTTCCTTTCTAATAAAAGAAGCTAGGAGAACGTTCCATTTGTAAATGTGACTTTTTATTTGTTCTACAACTTAAATCCTGCAGTGTAAATCTTCTGCCTTAGGTAAATTACTAGATATGCTCTGTTATCTTGCCTGAGCATATATAAAGAACCCTTGTATGTGGAGTCCTGAGTTACTTCCTCCAGTGCCACAGAGGAGCCCCGCCCT